TAATACCTCCGCAGTTCCGAGATTAAATCAAATTCAATTTTAATTTTTTTTTGTATGTTCAAGGGTTTTCATTTAATGGGGGCGTGTTATAAATAGTTTTATTATTTTTTTGTATGAGTCATGAAATATTTTTTTTTGTTTGAAATTTTATTTTTAATATTTTTTTTTAGTTTCGCGCAGTCATCTTGAACGTCATTATATAAATATTTTTTGTTTGAAATTTTATTTTTAATATTTTTTTGTTTCGCGCAGTCATCTTGAACGTCATTATATAAATATTTTTAATATTTATTATGTAAAAAAAAATAAATAATAATTTAATATTTATAAAAAAAATAATAATCTTATATAAACTAAAAAAAAAGTGGAAATTCATTATTATTATCAATTATATTTTTTTATATTTATTGTTTTAAAGAAAAATAAAACCAATTTATTCAAAAAAAAAAAGGGGTAAAAAAATAAATAAATATACTGTTAAGTTAAACATTTCTGTACGGTGAAATTTTGAAAATTATCTTTGATTATAAACATTCATCCTTTTTGATTTTATCATCACCTATAAAAAATAAAATATATTTACATTAGCATAGATTATATATAATATCATAATTTTTATAATATGTCTTATATAAGGCCTGTTCTTTATACAATATAATTTTTAAAAATAAAAGAAGATATAAATATTAATTTACATGACTTATTGATTATTAAATTGTATTGCTTTTGTAAGATTTTGCCTCATACCAGTTCTCAATTCCTGGTTTCTCAAGTCAGCAAAATGAAAAAATCTAATATTTAAATATCTTTAAAAAAATAGTATAAAACTAATAAATGATTACCTTTGAACAATTAATTTTACAAGAATTTGAAAATGGCTGTAACCAATCTCATGTTCATTAATATGTTCAGTAAGATCAATAAAAATATTTGTACCAATTATTGTGGAAAAAACCAACACTTCCATTTTTTTAATAATATTTTTACGTTTAATATCATTTTGATAAGTTCTAAATGAACTTTCACAAATTCGGCATAATATAGACATACTAGATGAAGGAATCACTAACCCCCCATTATTTTTAAAATTTATGAGCATATTATTTATATTATTATCAATATATGAATCACTGACCATTGCATTAATGCAAACATCACATCGTACCTTTTTTTCTTTAATAAGTTGTTGTACTATATATCCCGAAATATAAGTTGTTACATTATCTAAATATAATGATAATTTTGGGATATGAGGATTTGTTTGGCTAAAATAATAAGATAATGCCTGGGGTATTATTGGATTTGAAATAGTTTTGATAGAATTAAAATCATCGTCATGATTATTTTGAAAATTTGAACATATTAATTGAGTATTATCTAAGGAAATGCAATTTCCTGTAATTGTAGCATCCAATTTTGCCATTAAGGAAATGCGAACAGCAGATCGAACCTGATATGCTGATGGATTATCATTAAATCCACCTCTGCTACGAATACTACAAAAATATAATTCTAGGTGGTCTTGAGAGGTTTTATATGTTAAAAAGAACCTTAAAAAATTGTTATATTATAGCTTTATGAATAACTCTTGTTATAAATTAAATATAATACTTCATTTTTGGGGTTTCCCCAGTTAATAATTCCTTCCCCATTTCCAGGATGCTTTTCATAGAAAGAATTAACCCTTCTACACATGTTTTTTTATTAGACTTATAGACATAAGTTCCATTTGTTAACTTGAGTGATTTTAAAGTTTTAATGCACTTGTCAAAATGATTTTCATAATCTGCAATTGTATTATTATATAAAGGGGCTTTATATCCTTTACCAAGACAATTTCTTGTATTAAGATAATCAAACATTCTATAAGTTATTCATAAATTTATATCATAATTTTTATTTTACTGATCTATCATCAATATAAAATTAATTGTACCATCACAATTTTCAAATCCAGGAATCTCCTGATGCTGGGCAAAAAGAAGGCTATTTGCAACAGATGCACTAAAAACTTGAACAGCAAGTTTTACCTTAAAAAATATTTAATAATTATATATTTATTATCAAACTTTCATTTTTTGTTTGTGGAAAGCAATATGTGCTTTGCGCAATTTATTTGCAGCACGTAAACCTTCGCACTCCTGCAATTTGTGTAAATTTTGTATATGCTTCCAATCTATTAACTATAAATACAAAATAAATATTTAACCAAATTTAGCTAGCTACCTCTCCATTTGATTCATTTATTAAAATTTCCTCCTCCGCTAATAGATTTCTAAGTAATTTGAGCATATGACAAACATCTAGTAACATGTATATTTTTTCTGATTCATAAAATTCCAGCTCAATATATGGAATGATATTATCAGGATCCATACTAACACCAAGCAGTTTGCTCATTTTTTTATTAACAGCACAACCATCACATACTATGGCCTTACAGATAACTCCTGTTTCATTTATATTGAACAATGCAACTCTCACTAAATTAGCTAGGATATCTGAATTCATTTGTGAAACTAGAAAATAGGCTATTGGCATTTTCCAGCTGCTATTAAGACATGTAGCCATAAGAAACAGTGCCTTTGTTGCTTCTGGACAAGATTTATCTTCCTTTGTTGATTTTGTCCCATCACCTAAATCAACATAACCATGATATTCTGCTTTGTGGGGGTCATAATCTATTTGTGTTTTAATATGCATTTCATCAAGGCTAAGTACACAATATAACTGCTTTTCTGATTTTTTTTGGTAGCTTTTAATTTGGGTAAATGAAATAGAAAGGAAACCTTTATTTTATTTAATTTATTTTTTTTAAAATTATTATAATAAACCTGGCATGATTTCAATCTTGCGACTCCATGCCCTTAATGTGGATTCCGAAGGCATACAAAAGTGTGATTTGAGATATCTGTAAGCCTTAGGTGAATAAAAATGCATAGTCAATGCAAATTGACGGAATTCACATGTATATATTTTTTTTTGTGGGTTTGAGATGCCTCCACTGTGTATATGTGTTTTAAGGAATATAGCAGATGTCCCTGTAAAGTGCCTGTCTATAATATTTTCGACATCATCTGATAACAAATTTTCATCTTTTAGTGAAGTGATTATTGTTTGTAAATTGATTATTTTATTTTTTCCTCTTTTTGAGCTCCTATAATAAGCATGTGCTCTTTTTTTTAAGCGTTTAATTATAGCCTCTTGGTAAATAATTTTTCTTTTTAATGTTTCATATGTCGCGGAATAATTATGATCATTTGTTATATGTATAATTGGATCTTTTTCATATAATATATCACTTTTTAATGGTGTTTGTATATTTGAATAAACATTCGTTATCTAAAAAGTATATATTTTAAAATATTGTTTTAACTATGTAATGATATTGTTAACATACATCATGAAGTGGCTTAGATATACTAAATATCGATGGAATAGAATCTTCCTTCAATAAAATCTTTCCAGATATAGTTTGAATGAAACAAGTATTTTTAAAATGCCTTCCACAAATAATACTATATTTATTAGGCATAAAATTTTTTCTATTTATAGCATGTAACCATTTTTCCAATAATTCTTTGGATTTTATGGAAATCTATATTTAAAAATAGGTGAATAATAATGAGTAAAATATAAGATATATTTATGACATTGATACAAAGATAGATAGTATATAACAATCAATATTAATATCAGATCAGTTATTAGTAATATAGTATTGAATCAGTGAAAATTTGTTGATTGGCAGAGCCTCTATTAATATATATATGGTTTACATATTTCTTACAAATATTTAAAAATGAAACTGTATCATAGTAAATATGTATTTTAAAAATGGCTAACTTAATATTTTATCCAGAAAAATATTTAGGCAAAGTTCAAAATAGAAATCTTATCAACTCAAGAGGAAGAAGCATTATTTGTCCTAGCAGTAAAAATGAGAAAACTTTATATTTTTACTAAATAAGGATTTTTTTTCAATGTTTGTAGCTTATTAATGCTTTATGTAATAAATATGTTGCATATAAAAAATAATATATATACTTATGATAAGAAATATGTGTATTAGATTCCATTTTATTTGTTTTATTACAATTATGAACACAGCACACTCCCATTATCTAAATAAAATAATAAATGATAGTGATATTAAAAGATCTGTTTTGCATGTATCCTAAGATGCATTAACATAAGATTTATAAATCCGTGCAGAATTAAGTTAAACTATATTTTAAAAAATTAAAAGGTGGGTTAGTCATAGATTCATTTTTTAAATATAATCACCTAGTCCACATTCATAAAAAAAGTCTTATGAAAATTTAAGAATAAAAGATACTATAAAATATTATATCATAAATCGAAACCTTTAAAACTAAATTATCGTAGTAGACTTGTTTTCTATATATTAATATTTCTTGCTGACAAATAATGGATAACCAAACTACAAAATGGCGCTACAGCTGATTACAATGTGTGGACACTTTTATAATGCATTGAATGAATGAATCGTCAATCTATAGTTATATATATATCATTGGTTAATATTGAAAAAGATTTAACAAAAATAATTATGCTAAAATCATTTCTATTGGTCCCACTATATATTGATTCACTTTTTCTCATAGCGTTTCCTTTGAATTATACGATATTTGATATTCAAATTTCTTTAATTATCATCAGTGTTATTAATTTAATTTTAACTTTAAAATAAAAACAGTTTTAAATTATAAATTAGGAAACACTGTAATCCTGTTCTTTTTTTTATAGCTAGAGACGTATCTGTAAGTCGAAAGCATAATAAAAATAATTGTCGAGAGGGAGCATAATAATTTAAGTTTTCATATTAGAGGTAATAAATTTTTAGAGAATTATAAAATTTCTAAATAATATAGACATTTTATATTTTTATCAAATAAGTCATATTCTTTACACTGTCGTTATCTATATGTTGATACTTAATACTTCTCAATTTTATTATACACCTATCCCAACATATGTAAAATAAAATGTTAAAGGGTCAAGATTTTGGTGTAGATATCAAAAATGAAAATATAAGCAATATAAGGCCTCATCAAAATAATATAACCAACAAAATTTGCCCACACACCAATCCTAATTTAAATATACTTGAGAATAGTAAATCTCCATCAAATTTGAAACATTTATTTGAATTAGATGGGTACTTAAAATCTTATGAAAAAGAGATATGTAGGAGGTTGGTATTCATTTATTAAAATTATCCACAATTAATTTTAGATATGAAGTCTTTAGTAATACACTATCAAAAATTGATCAGGTTGAGGGTTCATTGGATAAATTTTCAAGAGGTTATCAAGAATATGGCATTCAAGTGACACCTGAGAATGGTATCAGATGTCTGGAATGGGCACCTGGGGCTAAGGCTTTATATTTAAGAGGAGATTTTAGTAAATATAAATTATTTATTGTTTTATTCTCAATTAATTATATTTTTATTTATAAATAAATTACTTTGGACATATTTTATTTATTTATAATAAAATATATGCCATAAGTATGAGCTATTAATAACTATATAATATCGTCAAGCATATTTGAACATTTGTTAAGATTGGATTATGATACTGAGTATAAATTGGGAAAAGCTCAATTTGGGTGAATTTTTAAAAATGGCCCAATTAAGTTTATTAGCTAAATAATATTATCTAAGCCTGGAGGTTTTGCTCATAGGTGACAGAAATGTTTTGATTTTTATTTGCCAAATCTCAAGGTTACAGAATATTATTTTGACTAAAAATTTTAATTGGGCCATTTTTAAAAATTTACCCAAATCAGGCTTAATATTTAATTATTGTAAAGTACAACATTGATTGTCAAATACCAACTTGTATTAAAAATGAACGTTTGTAGATTATAATTTAAGAATTTATATATCTATTGTTTTTTACTTTCTCATATAATTTTAGTTACATTGTGTTATATTTCCAACATATAGTGTCCTTTTCCAATAACTTTAAAAAAAACACTAGTATATTTTTTTATATTTAGATTATTTATTTGGCTTAAAAGAAATTATAATTATTATATACAAATTTTCTATTTATTTATTTTATCTCTAGACAAAAAATAAAATTTTACAAAAATAAAAGTTTTTTATAATAATTTTTTATCTATTTTTAACAATTGATGAAAATTTTGGTTAGATAAACAATAGTGCTTAGTGCTCAACACAGCCTTCACTGTGCTAAACACACTTTCAACTAGTGCAGAGAAAGGTAGGGCTATTTCATAAATAAAAATTTTAATTGAGAGGGAATTTATTAAATATTTAAAGAATAATTTTTTATTTCATAAAAAATTTTTAGATCATTGACACAAGAATTTTTATTAAGATTCTTGTCGATTTTTTTAAAATACTTTATCAGAATTTAATCTGGCAAATTGTGTTATTTAAAGAAACCAAATCTGAGTTTTGTTTGTATTTGTCAAATTCTTTTCTCACACTGAAAACAAGACTTATGCCTTTAATTTTCTTTGTTGGGTAAAAAAAATGTTTCTTTGACCAGGGCAGAGTTAAAAATCCTCATCTGAAAAGAAAAAAGTATTATTGACATTAATTCTTTATAAAATAAAAAATACATTAATTCTTTATAAAATAAAAAAATTTATAATAAAGAATATGAATTCACATATCTTGGTATTCAATATTAATTAGATTAACAATCTTGAATGTATAAAATTCAACAAAAATGTAATATAAAATAAAAATGAAGAACCTTGATCTGAAATTACAGCTTAAATTATTTATGAAATTTTTTTAAAAAAATTTTTTTTATTCCATTAAGGAAAAATTTAAAGTAACGTTTTGCGACACCATTACTCAAAAAATAGAAGCCCTTTACTGGTTAATTCTTATCTTTTGAAACACGTAACAGATGGCGTTCTTTTTTCTTAAGAAAAGTAACGCCGTTAATTGACGTTACTTTACACCACTTGAAATTTAGTATATTTATAAAATAATGTCAAAACTTATTTAGTTTTAATGCTTCAGAAAATATTGACAATTGTTAAATATAAAGATATGGCAACTCAATTTTAGAACAAGTGGTCTGGTCACTTTATTATATTTTTTTAGTTGAGTAATTCAATAACAATTATGATCAATCTTTATTTTATTTTTTGTTTGAGGATGGCTACAATGTGGTTGGATTGTATAAATTGCATAGATGAGCCAACACCCCATTCCCCCTTTTTAGTCGATTAAAATTTATACAGTATCATTATTTGTTAAAATTTAAAGTTATTTTCATTAATAAAAGAACTTCCAAAACTGATTTATTTTTCATAATCGATAATATATTTAAGGAGCGCATCTGCGCACAAATTGAGCGTTCATTTTGTCATTTTTAATTTAAAAAACTGATACCTCCCTTATTTTAAATTGAAGAGGGATTTAATTTTATAACAGATGATGTATGCTAATTTGGAACAAAAACATGTGAGACGTAAATTATATTTAAAAAGAACCACGAAAGGAAAAAGAAAACCAATTCGCGTTTTTTTAAAATGGTTTTTTATCGCTTAAACAGTAATTTGACCAATTTCCGCGATACCACTCGAAATGCTTTAGTTGCGTTTACAACACAGCGTTTAAACGCTACAATTTTCGCGCACTAAAACACCTAATTCCTTATGGAAAAAAAGAGGATACATTTTTTTTTCACCCATTTTTTAAATTTCCATAATATTGATTATTATCATTTTTTTTATAATAAAAAATAATAATAAATTTCTGGAGAAAATTGGGAATCTAACCTTGACCTTAGTTTTTGGAGACTTTGGAAAATTAACCATATTTGCTGTTTTCCCAAAATAAAACATTTTACTACACACTAATATGCTCCGTGTTAGTAGTGTTCTATAGCTTTAAAACAGCACCATCACCTAGTGATGTTTTTAAAAAAACTTTGATTTAGATGGGTTTTTTAAAAAAAAGATAAAGAATAGCAAAATCACGAGCTTAGAAAATATTACCGAAACCTCGAGATTTGGCCAAAAAAAGGGTCAAACTTTTTTGCCATGTTTTTGACGAAATTACGTTGGTTAGGTAATTATTTGCCTAAAATCTTGATTTAGCCGTTTTCTTAGTTAGTGCGAATTCGCGGCGAATTATACTAAATATGTTTTATTTTTGTACTCTTCACGAACTGTGAATGAGAGGTTAGGATGCATACACAAGTAGCACGCATTCGTTAGGAAGTATACAAAATTATTTTAATATACTTCAACACGAATTCGCGCTAACTTTTAATGCAGGGTAAATCAATGGTTTTATTTAACAATAATTATTATCAGCAAAAAACAAAATGATAGTGCATAATAAAATTTTTTTTATTTAATATTGTTTATCCAAGCTAAATTAGTATGTTTATATTTTTTTATAACAGACAATTGGAAAAAAAATGAATTCCCATTCGAAAAGCTTCCTTTTGGAAAATGGGAATTATACATACCTCCATTGGCAGATGGAACTTTACCAATTAAACATAAATCAGCTTTAAAAGTGATATTTAGCAATACTTTAAAAATTCCTATCTTATTTTGTAACAATATTATAAATGTCGTAATTTTTTTTCTTTCAGGATTCGTTGATAATATCCAGCACCTATATTTTAATAAAATCTGGGATCCCGTAATTTACAAAATAAATATTTTCTAATAAATTATTATAAAAATTTGTCTGAATATTAATTTGCATGTTTTTAATTATAATTATCTTTTGTGCCACTAATCTGAACGAATCTAGGAAAATAATTCCCCTAAGAAAAAATCCCCTTTTATTAAGATATTAAAAGTTACAAAATTAATAAAATAGGAGAAAAAATTCCCTATAAATATATCCACGGAATAAAAATCTTCAAATAAAATGTTGAAAAATTTAAAATCAATTCCGGGGAATTATTTTCTAATTTTTTTCCGCCTACCAATCTGAACGCCGTACCAACTAAGTTCCTTCTGTAGGCTCTTATTTTATGTCTAACGTCACCCTATATAAACAATTTTTGTTATAAATCTTATATTTAAGTTGGTTGTAGAAGATCACCATGGTCATATGCTAGATAGACTCAGTCCTTGGGCCACTTACGTTAAACCGCCTTCTAATTCAATCGTATTCGAACAAGTCTTCTGGAATCCGCCTGAAAATCAAGTATTTTAATTAATTTTTTTTTGCAACTACGTTTAGCATATTAAATTTTCCATTTTTTTTTATTCCATCAATTCGGAATCCATAAAGGTTTAATAAATCTATAAACAAATTTTTTTTAAAAATATCATTAAGTTTTGTAATACGGTAGTATTGGTTTGGAAATTATTTCCATTTTTTATAAAATTGTGTAACTTGCCTTTATTATTGTAAACATTGATAAAATTCAACAAAAAAAATTTCCGGGCAAATTAAACAATTTTATGAGAAAGTTGTTACATATATTATGAAATGACTTACAACAAATCAATGTAATTTCTTACACATAATAGATATTTATTAGATAATGAAAAATGTAATATAGTGGCTCTAATACTCTTCACATTCTAAATAACATTCTTTATTCATCCAAATTTCCACTCCACATAATACATAAAACTACATTCTAAAGGATAAAATAAAACTGTCATAATTTCATGTGCCAAACATCCATAAATTCCAATCACCGAATGGTTAGAAGCTTATTCAAACCTGTTCAATAAATATCTTTTGATAAACAAGGAATTTAGATGTGCGTTGCCTATCAGGTTAGTCCAGGCATATCTCTACCTTACAACCGTAAAATATGCGAGGTATTGGTTATGTCAAATAATGAAAGATTGTCATCTAGAGAAAGGTTAATTAGCCTGGATATGTCTATAGAACATAATGTTTCGGTAACAAATGTTGTAGTTGAGAATTAAAGAGAATACAAATAAATAGTATAATTAAATTAACTACTAATACTTTATTAATTAATATAAATTGTAAAAACTAAAATTAAAATAATAAAAAAATTAAAATTAAAAGATTAAAAAGCAAGTTCGCAAAATAATAATAATAATTAACAAGTAAAATTTCCTCGATTATATATACTTTTCTATCCTATTCATTTATATCGTCTTTACATAAATAATCTAAGAATTCGCTTCGTTTTTCTGTTTAACAGTCGATTTGAATATTACTTCTTCTTTCTCGATTTTATTTCAAAATAAATTTACATATTACAACAGGTTGAGTTAGATATCCACTCGATTGTCTCGTTAACAGATTAATAAAAAAGCCCAAAATTCAGTATTCAAAGCCGATGTTCCTTCACATCTCGAACTTCTATTATTAATAACTCGCGGCCCCTGGGGGAGCATATGTTTACCCCCCCCCCCCCTCTGAAATATGGGTAAACACATGTAGTATAAATAATAATTACTGTCCATAGCGGAAAAATGGTCCCAAAAATAAAATATTAATATCCAGCCGATTACAATATATTAATACTCACCCTATTACCAACAAACTGCTCATTTGTGACAAAGGCTTAATGCCTAATCAAACTAATTAACCAAAAGAGCCCTAAAATCATGAGAGCCCTTTTTTGATGAAAGCGTTACAATTTTAAATTATTTAAAGATTCATGGCCGTCACCAGAGTAGGGCGATTTTTTAAAAAAATTATTTTTAAATGTATTTTAAATTTTATATGCTTATTATTTTACATGTTATTTTTAATTACATTATATAATATCAATTAGTAAAATAATAAAAAATACTAATACTCATCCAACCATTGAAAACACATTAAAACCTAATTATGATATAATTGACAAGATTAATGAGTTACAATCACTTTTAAATATTTTTATAAATAGGACCCAATTTTTAAATAATTAACATCCATTTAAACATTGATATTTTATTTAAATAGCTTTTTTTAAAGAAATATTAGAGGGCTATTATGAATAAATATCATTTTCCTTGCATAAAATTATTTTATTATAATTTGGATTAATACAGGGGGGGGGGGTTATAAGATAAGATCATAGTGAAATTAATTGGGAACAGGAATGCCACTATATTTAAGCATTTAATTTTTTTTAAATCAAAATTAGGGTACAAATACTAACATATAAAATGTCACACCAGACATACCTACTAGTATTTCACCAAACGTCATTAATGAAAATATTGCAAAATAAAATAGAGCCAAATAACAATCAGACAATTTTTTTTACTTGGAATTCAGTCTGAATCGGCTCTGGTTGACCTTCATTTGCAATTGTAATTCTCAAAATCTAAATATTTAAATTTAAAAAAAAGCGATACGTTTTCAAGCACAAAAATCCTGGCAAACCCGACCGATTGCGGATTTACGAGGCTCACGTTGGAATAGCATCCTGGAAAGGCGAGGTGGCGACATATCGCCATTTTGCTGAACACATGATACCTCATATAGTGAATACGGGTTAATATCATTTAACTCTATGACTCTTTTTGTCCTCAAAGTGATCTTAAAAGATTATATGCTCATCGCTCCTAAAAGTTTTAATCTTTAAGATTGCTTCCTTGTCAAGATCCTATAATTTCTCAAGGGAAATGAATATCGTTAGATTTAATAATGAAGATAACTAAGTAATCTTTCATCTTTATACAGTATAATGATGCTGAAAATTATCCTCGAAAATTTTTACTTAAAATGGCCGAGATTGATGACATGTACACTTTTTTCATTGAAAATAGCGTTATTTTCTCGACCTTACTCAACTCAATATTTTTATATTATTGTCTTTTATAAATTTATCATAATTTTTTTAAATGCTATGACTAACTTTTGGGGAAATTTTTGGATAGGCACGGCCCTAAGAAAAAGTTATTATGGCGAAATAAAGTTATTTATGAATTAACAATAATTTTTTTATATAGGGTTAGAATAAATTTTAAAGCTTAATAATGGGATTGATTATTTTACACCTTAAAAGTCATGTGTTTCTCTAGAATGAATAATTCGATTACATAATTAGTTGGACTTATATTTTTAATGTATGAAATCTTTATAGGTTACAATGCTATACAACTCATGGCTGTAATGGAGCACGCGTTTTACGCTAGCTTTGGATACCAAGTCACTAGCTTTTTCGCAGTGTCTAGGTCAGACTTATTTATATACTATAATAAATAATATTATCACTGCATTATTAACTTCTTATGATAATGCACAAAAAAAAGAAATTAATTTGTTTGCAAATACGCCACCAAAAACAAATACAAATAATTGCTACTTGTTCAAGAGTTATATAGTGTCCTTATTCATTAATCTTGATTTAATAAATTACCGATTTAATTTGTGTTACTATTTACCTGGGTCTGAGTCATTGGTCTAACTATTATGGAATTTTTTAAAATTTATGAAATCATTTTAAAAATGAAGTTTGTTGTAACACTTGTAATGAAGAAAAATGTATATAAATAATAAAGGTTCTAATTAATAATATAATCCCTTTAATAATATTTATTCATCCAATTATCATAATTACAATCCATAAGGTAAAAGGTATACAAAAATAAAAATGAAAGAAATATAAAAAATTAAAAGAGAAGCTAAAATAAAAATTTTTTTTAAAAACACCTACAAGAAAAATTTAATCATCCAAATCTCCATAGTCTGTAATATGAAATTAACCAACATCACATATAATAATTCTTCTAATTTGCATAAGACATTTTTTGTATAAAAATATTAATTTGAATATCACACCAATAATTTGATAAGATTTTAAATTATATCTCTTCTGCATTAATACTAACGATATATCATTTGTAATAATTTTATAGTCGAGTTTTTTCGACTCTGAACTCGAGCCTGAGTCGTAAAATACGGCTCAGACTCGAGCGGCTCAATGAGCCGTTTGAGCCGACCATCAGAGTTGTTTAAAGATGGTTTTTAAATGGATCTAGGTACAGTTACTTATTTTGAACCTTTAATATTCGGTTGCATTTAAAATCGGTGGCAAATATTTTTTTAAATCCTAGGTTAGGATCAAATATACCGCAAACGTATTTAGGAAGATGCCATGTAAATAATATATTTTTTAAAAAATTTTTCTCTATCAATAAAAAAATTAGAGATCTGCAAAAGTAGGAGGCCAGTACCCGGTCCGTGCGGAATATTTTTTGAGAAAATTCGGGTAGGGTCGGGCCTTAAAAATTTTTTTAAACATATTTGAATATCAATTTTATGTTGAATTTTTAATGTAAAATACAAATATGTGATTTTATTTATAGAAAGTAGACGCTAAATAACTTATATCGTTTATTTTGAGTAATTATAAAAATTAATTTCCAAATTTTAATTAAATTTGGGCCAAATCGGGCCGGCAAATTTTTTTTAAAAAAATTTCGGGTTCGGGCCGGGCTTGTAGATATTATTTTAGAGGTATCTGTTTTAGATACTTTTAATACATTTTGATATACTTTTATTTAACTCTTTTTTATATTAAAATATAAAAATATTTGAATGCAAAATTCATTTTATCTCATATGAGCATATAATTTAATAAAATATGTATTAAAAAATATTTAGAATAATATAATAAAAAAATATATATAGTATTAAAACTTATATAAAAAAATATATCAATATTCATTCAATATTTTTTTCCCATCAAATCTATAGATATCAGTTCAAAATTGTAAGGATATTTTTATCATATAAAAGAATATATAAATCCTTGCTTAGCCATGAGGCTCATTAATTATTAAAAACAATACCATTGAAGCACAAAATTATTTTAAGCAAATAAGTTTATTTAGAACTTTTATAAATATCCGCTAACTTTTAATGAATAAATAAGCTTAATCTTAAAAAAAAATTTTTAAAGATAAATACTCATTTTAAAAGAGAATTTGCTCAAAGAACGATAAAATAAGAGTTTCTATTCGAGAACAACAGCGAACTCTGTATATATAAGTATGAAAATATTGTATCTGTAAGTCGGCTCTGGAGTCTACTCGGAAGTCGGCTCAAAAGACTCATTGAGCCGCTCGAGACTTAGCAGTTTTTAACGACTAAAAACTCGACTCGAGTCGTGGCTTAGACGAATTGGCTTAGCGGTTTAACAACACTAATTTGTATTTATTTTTTTCAGAGTTTGAAATACTTTTCAAAATTAAAAAATCTTCAAAGATATTTAAATGGACATATATTTTCTTGAAAATGCCCAACCACAATTTTTCAAATTTTACTAGTGTTAGTTTTTTTTAAAAAAATGGCTAACCCAATATTTTCGCCAAAAAAATACAATGTAAGTCTCAAGATTTGGTTAATAGATATCCAAACCTTTCTGCCCTCTATGGGCAAATTTTCCAGGTTTGCGTAATATTTTTGGGCTAAAATATTGTGTTTGCCTTTTTTTAAAATAGAGCCGTTTAACATCACTGAGTTTTGCCAAAAATTACAAATTCTTTTTGTAAAAAAATCTTTAAAAGAAAAACTTTTTGTGATTTTTATTCATTAATAAGAATATTTCCTGATGAAATCACAATTTAAAAAAAATAGTAAGCAGACGATTTCTTTAATGTGCAAACCCTTGAAATATTCATAATTTTTTGGAAACATAATTTTACAACGCGCGATTTTTAGCTTGCTTTTTACTAACCTAGAACGCTTTGGTTATTGCTTTAGGCCCAATTTATAGTATAAGAGCGTTATGTTCAAGCGTAAACGCACCTCGAGAACATAGCGCGTTTAACTATAAATGAAGTTTTAGCTTAAAAAAGCTAATATTACATGATCTTACAGTGTGTAAAAACCTATGACTAATAACACTCATATGGGATTTTAATATGTTTTCGTTAGTCGTTTCGGCCCACCCGAAGACCTGAAACTTTTGGTGGATACGGCCCACTCCAAGGGATTGGTAGTCCTTCTCGACGTGGTGCACAGTCACGCTTGCAAGAACACGGTCGACGGCCTGAACGAGTTCGACGGCACCGACGCTTGCTACTTCCATTCTGGGCCAAGGGGCACCCATCCCTTATGGGATAGCCGGCTCTTCGATTATACTCAGTATTTTATTTTATTTTAATAAAGATCATCACCCTCCCCTCTCCCACCCCCTTCCTTTCTTCAAAAAAAAAGCAAACGATAATTTACGCAACAAAAAATTTAAAAACGCGTTACTTTTCATGAGCAATTATGTAAATGAAACTGTCTTAAGTTTTTGATACATGATTGCATCCGAAAAGTAAGTGAAGCTTTTGGTAGCACTCACTTATCCTCGTGTAATAAATCATGTCCGTTTCGATTTACAAATATCTGTTATTTTTATAAATAGATTTAAAATATTATTTATAATCTACGTTGCATAAACTTTGGAATAAATAAATGGAGTTGTTAAAAAGCCCGGGTCGATTTTTAAAAAATAGTTCAATTAATATTTTAATAATATTATGTAAGCCTTGAGATTTGGTGAATAAAGGTCCAAATTTTTCTGCCATCAATGTCCAAAATCTTCAGGCTTACATAATATTATTTTGGCTAAAATCTTAATAGGGATTCTTTTTTTTAAATCGGTCCGAATCGGGCTTTTTAGCAACACTACAAACAACTAACAAATATTTTTTCCCTCTTAAATTTAATCTTATCTTTCGGTCAATTTGCCTTTTATTTTTTATGGTTCTTTATCGTATTTCATTTTTTTTTTAAAAACCAATAAAAAACACAAAAGATGGGAAGTTCTCAGGTTTTTACTCTCAAACCTTCGCTGGTACATGTCCGAATATCGTTTCGATGGCTTCAGATTCGACGGAGCGACATCCATGCTTTATCACTCCAGAGGCTTAGGTCTAATTTTCTTTTATTTTTTTAAAAAAGGATAGATATCTTGAAGATTTTTTCTTATCCCTTGAAGGGATTCTTTACTTAATTAAGAAAATTTCGTATATTAGAATTATGCTTTTTTTAAAATTATTAAAATGAAATATATAATATATATTACATTAAAAGAATGAAAGGAAAGAAGGTTGAAAGAAAGAAAGAAAGATGGATAAAAAAAATTTATAGTAATTATTTCACTTCTATAAAATATTTATCATATGAATTTTTAATACACTTTTAACACTATAATCAGCTATGTTGGGGATATCAAATACCTGTTCGGGAAGTTTAATTTAAAAAAATTTAAACCGGCGAGCACCTATCTTTATCTTGCCCTATTCATCTAATTTGAATTATAAAATTATGTTGTAAAAAAACACTTTTTAGGACAATCATTTACTCATTACGACGATTATTTTGGATTAGGGGTTGACACCGATTCTCTTAATTATCTAGCGTTGGCTAACCATATGCTCCATACCATATACCCCTATACCATTACTATTGCGGAGGTAATGATGATTTACATAATAGTTACGATATTATAAACGACTCGTTGGCAATTTTGTCAATTTCTAGATGTAGTCATGAGTAATAAGTATACTGTCACAAAATCGTGGATAATTCCGTTTAATCTTAAGGTGGGCGTCAAATAATATTTAGTAAGCCTTGAAGCTCTTTTAGATATTTACGGTTTCCCTCACCTCAAGTTCATCGGCTCAGCCATTTTAGAGAAAACGATTTTCCGCCACTATTCAAATATAGCGGAATTTATTTACTCATATTTTTTTGTGATCTTTTCTTGAAATGTTTAATATCAAATTAGGAAGTTTCGGGGATGCCAACTTTGTGTAGGCCTATCGACGAAGGGGGAATAGGATTCGATTATAGATTGGCCATGGCTATTCCCGATATGTGGATTAAGGTTATATATATTTTATAATATAAATATAACGAAAGAAAGAAGGGGGAGGGGAAATGAGAAAGAAATATTATTAGGTTAGGAAAAATTCGCTCTTTAATTTTACAAGATTTTTTTTATATATGTAAATTTATACCTTTTCCATTTCCAACATAAGAAAATAAAAATAAGCATAAAATTATGATTTTAGTTCTTCTTATTCCTCTCCACTCCATCTCACCCTTTATAAAATATTTCAAATACTTTCATAAATTAAAATCAAAAGTCAATTACTAAAGAAAACTAAATCTAAATCAAATTATTTTTTGGAACTGTTAAACAGATTCTTAAGGAAAAAAAAGACGAAGACTGGAACATGAACAACATAGTAGGCGTTTTGACGAACAGACGTTGGCGCGAAAAAAACATAGCATACGCTGAAAGCCACGATCAAGCTTTGGTTGGTGATAAGACCATAGCCTTTTGGTTTTTAAAATCTATTGTATTACCCCCCCCCCCCCCCAATAGAGATTGTAAAGTTGAATCAGGTTTTTGTTTGGTAATTGATAGAGCTCCGCCATTTAGAGATCTGATTTTTTTTGGGTTTTACCCCCATTTTAGTCCCTTTTTTAGATCTTTTTTTTAATATATAAACAATCTATTTTGGGATGAAAAGGTTGATGGATAAAGAAATGTACGATTTTATGTCTCTAAAGGGTCCTATAACACCAATTATTGATAGGGGCATTGCTTTGCACAAGATGATAAGAATGATCACCAACGCGTTGGGCGGTGAAGGCTACCTTAATTTCATTGGTAAAAATTTATATTTATAATCTTTATATTATATAATTGCTTTATTTATTTATTTTGAATTTAAATTTTTCTCATCTTAAAAGATTGTCAATCACTAAAGATATATGAGAAACAGATTTATTTTTTAAAAAAAATACCCGCACAAATTATTTATGCTTTTAAAATTCCATATGAAACATTCATTTTTCACAGTGTCATCACTTACTGGGTATTTAGGGTTAGAAGCTGCTTTTTTTAAAATTTAGAATTACTCAGCGGAATTTTGAAAAAATACCAATGCTCTCCCCTTCTGATGCCAGTTATTATTCTTATAATAATTATCGATAATTCATATGATAACTTACTAATAAGGTTATGGGTCGAAAACTTTATATAATTATATAAATACATTATGAATGTTAGTATATTATATTTATATATATAAAATAGTAAAATAGAGGTAGGAAAAAAAACAAATATATATAAAAAGGATTAAAATAGTTAGATTGGCTTCTTGGGAAGGAAATTTCCACAGAAACTGATGTAATTCGACTTCTACATGGCAATAGGCCTTTGTCTGTACTTCACTGGGTTCATCTATAAATTTATGGATGAATAGCAGAGTTCCTTGAAGAAAGTTAAAGCACGGCCATCGAATGTGGTTAATGTATAGGAGATTATAGGTATAAAAATATGATCTTCGAATATGTTCATACTAAACCGTTATGAGCATATAATAAAGTTAGCCATCCAAAAATGGAGTGTTTTCCTAAAATTTTAACAATTTTTAGCATTTGCGAATTAATTTTTTTTTATACTAGTTTATTTTAATTTAACCTTTTAATTTTTTTTTATCTGAATGAGAATTTATAGAGTATAATACACCACGGTAAATTCTTGCTATTAAATTATATATTAATATTATTATTATATTTGATTTAAAATATTATTCCTCGCGGTAAAAATACTTTGTTAATTTCAAAAGCTTTATTTTAAATGATAATTTTTTTATGTATGGACACCGAACGCTATAATGTTATAATAAATTTTAAATCAAGATTAAATATCCTGATAGTAATTTCGAAATCAGAACTCGCAAAATATCATTATATAAAAGGAAAGATTTAATTAAATTTTTATTCTTATTTTATAGAATAATGAATGATAATTGTCAGTTCATAATAATGGTATTTTTAAACTTGTTTAAAAAAATTCTAACGTTTTTATTACATGTTTATATTATGAATAAATAAATCAAATTTTGAACAAGGTAACGAATTTGGTCACCCAGAATGGTTAGATTTTCCCAGAGCTGGCAATAACAACAGTTATCATTATGCCAGGCGACAATTTAATCTTCTAGACGACAAAAATTTGAGATACAAATTTCTCTACGCGTTTGATAAGGGGATGAATGATCTGGAGAAAAAATACGCCTGGCTTTCATCGCCGCAAGTTTAACATATATTTTTTTTAATATTATTTTTTGTATACTTTGGGAGAAGAGTTTTTATCATCGCTTATAGGGTTTATTAAGAAAAACGAATTGATTTATTATTATAAGATAAATAAGGGCAATAAAATAATAAATAACAACCAACATATCATTTTGGCAGACCGAATTTATTATAACTTAAGTGGCTACAGGGGTATAAACTGTTAAGATACCTATGAACCGCAACTAACGGGCCGGGCCTGAAATTTTTTAAGAATTACCCGGGCCAGGCTTGGAAATTTTTTCCCCAAAAATATCCGGGCTGTATATTTTAATATGAAATATTTGAAATCGCCATTATTAGTTATAAAAATCAAATAATTGATATAATATATTTTATAAAAATAGGGGTCGGGCCTAAAAATTTTTTTTTTAAAAAAAAGCCTCAAATGGCACCTAAGCAGGTCTCTGATTTATATCATTTAGTGGGAGAAAAGTTGAACCTTCTTATGATTCATGAATAAACTTTAGACCCGTTAATCAATTGAACCATGTCGATTTCATAAAACTGCATTTTGATAAATATTTGGAACTGAAACCGTTTTTAATCTTGGTCGTTTAAATTCTGCCGGTAATAGACTTTTTTTCTTTCTTTCTTTCTTTGAGCGATGATTTGTTACCTTTAAAAGCCTTCTGAATCATTTATTTGACTCATCAATTAAGAACGTTTTTAATGTTAAAAGATAGGAAAGTGTGAGCTAGAACGAGGCCTAAGACAAATATATTTGTTTTTTAAAAAAACTTATAATGTCATTAAGGCTTACGTGAGTACCAAACACGAAGATGATAAGGTGATAGTGTTCGAAAGGGCCGGTCTCGAGTTCGTTTTCAATTTTAATCCTACCAAAAGCTTTCCCGATTACAGAATAGGGATAGAAGTTGCCGGAAAGTTTGTTACTACGAATATCTATTAATTTTAAAACTATATTTTGTTAAGTAATTTAGGAATAAACGTTATATATTTTTATAAAGAAAGTAATGTAAAAATTATTGATCTTTAAAGAAAATATTCTCGATAAAAATGGGAATATAATATTTTACCGAAAAACTGAGCATTTTAGTAGATTATTTTTTTTTATAGAATATATTTGTTTATTATAATCTGGTAAACAAATCTTTATCATAAGTATATTAAAATCAATTTGTTAATCTTGATTTTTGAGGTCCTTTTGTTGAATCTATAGGTTTGGTATTTAATGTTAAAGAAAAATCGTTAACATATGAGTAATCCCCACATGAATTATACTCCCTTCATATCAGGGATCTTGACGTGACCATGTCAAATCGTATGTTAGTAATAGGTGTGTGCTAGCTCTGTAGGCTCCACCTGAATAGGGAATCTGGCGTTTTGGGTATTCGCGAAACAATTGTTCTTTGCCGCCAGACGCGATCTGTAGAATTAGAGCAAGCAAGAAAGCAATGTCTACAATTTATTAACTAATAAAGATCATCTTGACTACTTGTGAAGTTGTGGCAATATGTGAGATTACTCAAGTTGTTTTACCGATTTTCCTTCAACATTAAATACAAATACCGATCCTATAAATTCAACAGAAGGATCTCAAGATTAAGTTTAATAATTTTCATATTTTTATATTAACAACTCTTAATTTTTAATTCTAGAATACATTGGTCTTAAATTTCTTGGTTCTATAAAATTAATCGTTTAAAACTTAGAATTTTTATATTTTAAAACAAAAGCTTCAAACTCTCCAATTCATCCACCCAGTTAGGACTTTCCGCGCTTTATATATTGCATTTGTTTGTTAATTTCATATTAATTAATTTTTATTTGATTTTGATGAGTATTATATTTTTTGGTGATTATAATTTCTCAAATGTATTTTTTTTAATTCTTTCGTTCTTATTAAAATTAAATTATTATTTTGAAATTAAAAAAAAAGGTACAAAATAGTCTTAAACTCGGATGACGAATCATACGGTGGCCACAGTCGCGTTGATAATTCTATCGAATTTTTCACCTATCCCGAACCTTGGAATAATAGGCAAAACTCTATGATGGTAAGCTTTATTATAAAATTGATGGAGTTTGTTATCTAACTAAAAATAATAAATAACTTATCTAAACTATATGTATAAATATTACATCTTCGCCGCGAATTTGCGCTAACTGTTAACGCAGGGTTAAAACCTTTATTATATGGCTTATCCAATTGATTAATGGATATTTTTAAAAAGCGAAAGAAAATTTTTTAAAAAAACGATAATAAAATACGAAAAATAGCAATGCCACCATACTTAAAATTAACCAAAATAGGGTGCCCTCTGTCAAATACTTTTTAGCCTATATTAAAAAACAATTAAGCATCCAAATTAAACCCACCTAGGATACGCCTCATATAACTCACAAACTCTTAAGAGAAACCAAGAATATATAGTAGGCACCCATATATTTTACAGTAAATTATTGAGCTGTTAAAAGATTCGGACAAAAATATCGAAAGAAACGTAGATATTCCCCGCTTTATTTATGTTGCTAAAAACTTCGATTTAGGCCGCATTTATAGTAAACCATTTTGTTCAAGCGTTACTTTATTTAGAGCAAAATAAAGCCAATAAATAAATTTATAAATAGGGAGCGTTATGATGAAAACGCTTTAATAAAATTTGAAAAACATAGGTTGCTATGCGTTGATAAAAAAAGATATGTTATACGATTATAAAAATATTTGCTAATTCGATAAAAAGGTATACGATTTTTCTTAAATATTATATAAAATAATTATCTCTATTTTAACTTTATCTTAAATTAGTCATTATAAAACTGAATCAGCTGTAATAACGCTGCGTTAAATAACGCAAAGCTTGAAGATAACGCGTATACTCTAAAAATAGAATAAGCCTCGATATTCCTTTAAATGATAGGAAAAATGTTTGGCTTTTTTTTAGTGAAATCTAGAAACTTAGATAATATTTGTTTAGCAAAAATCTCGAAGTTTTTAACGACACCACATCCGAACCCTTGGCTTATTTATCTTTTTGATTGATTCTAATGATTATATAAATTGACTATATAATTAAAGCATTTTGGCGTCCTCGGTTCGACACAGTTCTTGAACTGTGACACCCTATTTTAGTGTGTTTTAAGTGTTTGGTAGCATTGTTATTTTTCATATTTTATTATTTTAACTTTTTAGGCTTGTTTAGTGGAAGTATTAATAAGTCTAGACACGGCCATTTAAAACAATAATTTTTAATTACTATCATGTCAATTTTGATAAACTTTCCCCTAATTATTATTATAAATTCTTATTTAAATCTGAAATACTTTTTAAAGAAATCAAATTTTTTTTATACAGATTTACATACCTTGCCGAGTTTGTCTTGTTTTTGCCAAAACGGATTAGAAAACCGAAACACCACTCAGAATATCCACTAAAGACTCGCTGAAAACCATAGATTTATTTTATAAGATATACATATATATAAATTTTAAACTATAGTTTAAGCTTTCAAAATTTGAATAATGTTTAAAGGATGAATACTGTAATTGTAATCTCACCAAAAATTGTGATGTATGAAAACTGTTTTTTGTTGTTGTACAAATATAAAATACCTTTTTTTAAAATATTTCTTTAGGTTGTTTATTTAATAACTTAAACCATATTATTATATTTTCAATAGTCAACTGAATTGGATTATAATGATATAGATCCTTTTATAATTATTATTTATTATTACAAAATTAATGATTTTTTTAAATTTATATTATACATTTTATTATATAATTTATCAAACCTCATTCAAAATTAATAGTTATTTAATATTTATAAAAATATATTTTTCCTCTTGGAGACTTTAAAATAAAATTTTCACCGTTTTAAACTTATAATTAATTTTTTATTTTACTACTAATGTAATAAATAGATAGGACTTTTTTTCCAAATTTATTGGCAGTAAAATTTTAAAGAGTAAAACTAGCTTTTGTAAGTCTTTTTAAATTTTTCTCTTACTTTTTACTACATTTGGGTAATTACTATATTTTATTTTTAGCCGTTTAAGCCAATTTTTACCCGTCTAAAAAATTGTTTAAACCAGGTTGGCCCCCCCCCCCTGGGTTTTTCTTAAAAGATAGCTGCTCAAATTCGGAATAAACTAATATAATTTAAAACGCCTTAATATCAATGGATTTTCTCCCGCAAGGCTCCTGAAGATTGAGCCGACATTTAGCCATTACCCAACTATATTTTTTATCTCATTTTATTAGACCAATCCCATTAGAATATATTCTATCGCCACTTGAAAATTATATGTTAAAAAAATGAGGGAAACCATGCTAGTAACTTTTTTACAGGGTTAGATAGATCGTTTGCGATTAATTTATTTTAAAAAAATATTATGTGTAGTATTTATTTTTTAAAAAAATTTGAGCGTTGTTTAATAAGTTGTTTATAAAGAATTACAGGCTCGATTATTGAACATTATTAACAGCAAACCAATTTCTAGAAATATTTAATGTAGAGGTCACTAATCTGCTAACTTTAAACAAATAATACTGATTACTGCAATTGAAATAAAACAGAATTAAAGGCATAGTAATCCTTTGATCTTTATATATGATTAAGGTATTTGGGTTTATAAAAATAGTCAAACCTTATTAATGATAGATTTTCGAAAAATCTAGTGGATTGATTACCCTTATGACAAAATCTTGTTTTTGTATTTTTAGGTGATAATGAGGATATTAGCATTAAGAGTAATACGCAATATTTTTACCCAAATACATTTTAGCATATCGTCTCTCGACTATTGGAGTATGCCCAGATATGTTTTTATTCAAACGGGAGATAATTCGATTTAAATTTAAAATGATTATTCCTGCTAAACCTACTGACCAAATTGAAGGAAGTTTGGGATACTTCATTAAAATTGATTCTTTCTATTATTATAAAAAAAATATTTGATTGGAGATTGAATGTTTTTCGACACCCTTAAAATCCAGTTGAAGCAAAGGTAATAAATTAAATAACCAAATAATTAATCATAATTGCTCTCAGAAATCTTCTAAAATTAATATTAAAGATTAGTATTATATCTGTTAACATAATAAAATTATATTATTTTATATTAGGAATTTAATTTAAAAACTTAGATTAAAAAATTTACAAGTAAAATTTTAGTAGTATGTGAGAGAAAGAGCGCTGCATTAATAAAAAGAAAGATTTGAAATTATGTAAATTAAGCAAAAAAAACATTAAATATTTTTATATAAATTTTGGTTTACACATTAGATAAATATAAAATCTATTCATTTAAAGCCTAACTTAATTTTTTTCCAAATAAGAGCGTTCAAATAATCAAGCGAGGGAATCAGGGAACATTAGATACGAATTAACAGTCCCTAGTCGTTAATCACGGCCAGAATTAATTTCGTTTGCTAAGATATATGATAATAAAATCTTGCAAATAAAATACTCAAAGACAATATAAAACTACTATGAATGTCATTGTAATGACTACAAAAAAATGACTAATTTATGTGTATGATCTATTGCATAGTTACAATTTCTATGCTTTAGAATATTATAAACTTATATCAACCTTTATCAGTCACGCAAATAAGCTGCAAGCTTTCTCTTAGCAAATTGGTGGTAATAGAAAAATAGATTGAATACTATTATTATTATTTCATTATTATTAATTATTAGTATCTCTATTAATAAATTACACAGTTTATATTATATAATCTATTTTTGATACTGTAATATTTATGAGATTAATATGATTTAAAATTATAAATATGTTAAAATTTAATCTTAATTATATTAATAATATAATAGAAAGAATGTTCAGTTATTTTTTTTGATATTTCACGCTAGTTAGTAAAAATAGAGAATACTAATCATCGCCACATTTTTTAAATATTTTTTTCAATAATCATAGAGCCACGTGGTGACCATAAACTCTGCTCCTACTTCCTATGCAGGTAGAACTTAAACTATTAAACCAAATTGAGTTTGTTGATTTCGTTTACTCACAAAACATTCGCCTTTTTTTAATATAATTTATTAATAAATGAATTTATATAAAAAATTTTATATTCTCAAAGGAATAAGATTTTATATATGCAACAAGTAGAAAATATTATTATATGTGCAATTTAAATAAAATCATGTTTCGCTTGTTTTTTTCTCTTTTCTCTTTATTCAAATATAGAAGGCGAAATAAGTTTCTAACCGATCGTTTTAGAAATGATTTTGTTTGTCAACAAATCTTAGTAAAACACCAATAAGCCTTTAAAGGGGATTCATAGAAGGCCGGGCAAAAACTGGAAATAGAGGTATGAGGGGAAAGCCCCCATAAAAATGAGATCTCTAGAAAAATAGTTGTCAACGAGGCTGCACATTACCAGTACCCCTGCGTATCAGTATGTCCTGAAATTAGTTTATTCACCCTTCCATCGCACCTCCATATCTTCAATAATTTTTTTTTCCAATTCATATCTCAAGCAAAGGGTAATCACCAAGAACATCGGTTAGAGTCTAACATATACATATTTTTTTAGCATAGGCAAGTCTGTTTATTTTTTAAAGTTAACTTTAACCACGAGCCTCCGATAAATAGTCGTAATATGACGGTTCAGATAACCAATTAAATTATGTCTAAGGACCAGGGTTTCAAGCAAATTTCCCCTCGGACCTTGTTTACGGTAACTGCGAAAATAGCATCACATCGCGACACTTACAAAACGCACATTAAATTATGCAACTATACTATCGTTTAACTAATTAAGCATTACATAGCCATCATTGCGGTTACTATCCATTCAGCCTGATTAGAAAATAATTATTATCATTTAAAAATTTATTATTTAAAAATTGTAAAGTAATTTATTTTTATATTATATTATATTCTAATATATTCTATTCTATTTGTATTATTATTATTTTAACCATTTTTACTTGCATTCTACATTTTTTATGGAACGAAAATGTTTTTTTTATTAAAAGTAAAATATTATCGACAAATTTATTGAAAAGTTTATAAAATAATTTCGATCATTCTAGAAATTATTAGAAATAATTTTGAAAAAAATAGAAACTAATATATTCAAATAAAAAAAGAAGTAAATTATTTTAATTTTTATATTTTTAATACTTCAAAAAAAAATAAAACAGGAAACCTTTATAATGATAATGAATATGTATTCAATAACTATGGTTTTTTGCTTGATCTTATCTGGGAACAATTTAAAATCAAGTATTAAAATAATTATAATTTTTATTCCTCGTGAAACTTATGATGGGGAATTGGCTTAGGACAAATAACTATAGCCATTAGCCATAGTTAATTAATGTTATTAAGCGGCTCGATTTGATCCGATTTTTAAAAAACGACTAACTCAATATTTTATCCAAAAAAAATATTAATCAAGCCTAAAGATTTTGGTCCTAGATGACACAAAGGTTTGGATATCTATTGGCAAAAATTTTTAGGCTTAAGCGATATCTTCAAATAGAGCCGTTTAACATCACTAGCCATAGTCATAAAAAGTATCTAAGGACTAATAACTATACTCAATTTTAAATAGCTTAGGCTATTAGTAGACTAAATTTCCCCATCTAAAGTAAAATTATATAATGATTACAACAAGAAACAAAAAAAAATTAAAATTTAATATAACCAGTTTTAGCGGAAGCATCTTACGGGAGTCTCGAAGATGCTAGAGGTAATTATAAATTAAAATAATATTAAATAATTGATTTTAGCAGGCGGCTTGAAATCGGAAGATTTGGACAAATATCTTGCTGGTTTAGATCAATTTTTTTATGAATATTTTCTTAGAAATTAAGACGCAATTGTTGTATAAACTATATATATTATAAAATGTATATATAAGATACCGAAGACCGTGACACAAGTCTACAAGATAGATCTAACAGAAATATTGGTAAAAAATAAAAATTTCAATGTAGGAATGAATAAATGAATATATTTTTTCAAAGATCCTTACAATGAAGAGGAATTCGGCAAAAGGAGATTTTATGATACGGAGGATGATAACATGGATCAAAGTAATTACTCAAAATCGATTTTTTTAATATTATAACTTACTTTTTTCTTAGGAATGAAATTTGATAACATGGGCTTAGATCTTGATGAACTTAGAGGTTTGTTTATATCATTATTATAAATAATTAAATTTTGAATGTTAATTTTAAACTTATAGCTCTTAGCAAATTAGTTAAAAGAGGCAAGTTAGACGCTTTGAAAATGCCACCGCGCGAAGGCAATGCTATGTATAGGAGAATGAGAGGTTTAAAATTGCGAATAATTTGGTTTTAATTTTTTATTTATAATTTTAGCGGAAAGTGATGATTACCCCGTTAAAGCGCGTAGTATAGATAAGGGAGTTCCCTATGAATACAAAGTTGGCGAATACACTTTTCTGGGGAATCCGGTGTCCCAGAAGAAAAAAATGTCGAGACGCAAAAGAGTGAATAGAAATATTGATAATTCAGTTATAATAAAAAGTTTTATCATTATTACGAATGTATTGCTATAAAAGTTTATGGTATGCAGTCAAAAACCTAGAATCTTTAACCCCACAGGTTGGAATATTTGGTTCTAAAAATATTTCTTTTTCATTTACTGTCTTAACCCTTTTCCTCATATTTAACGTTTTAAAATGCCCTATCTCTTAAGAAAGTGCTGAATCGGAGTTTTGACTGTACGCCATAATATATATTCCAATTTTTTGGGATAATATTTAAATTTTGCCTTTAATTAAATATGTTATGCAGGAATCGATCCAGAATGGAGTGTTTACTATTAATCGACGAAAGCGGAGACGTTATATAAAGAATATTATATAAATTTCTTTGTTAATTAAATAAACTTTTGAATATGATTGAATTGTAAAATTGATTTATTTAAAACTTGTTAATTGATTTTGAAATGTTTGATATCGTTTTTTTTTCAAAAAATGCAAATAAAAGAAATGATTATATAACCTAGCGATATGACTTGTGGTGTATAAACGATTTTAATTTGTATCATTATATTATATTACTGTTATCGCCAATTAAAACTCATAACAAGAATGTTACATTTTTTATCTATTAATCGCATTCTTTTCAGCTTCAAATTTATCTATGGCTGTTGCTATTCTCATAAAGTCTTTTTGCCGAATTTATAAGTATCTGAAAGTAGTATTTACCATTTCTTCTATGTTTAATTTAAAGGAAGATTAAATGGATTAAATAAGTGTTTTTGGGTAGCCTGAGATTATACAGATAAGCAAAGTTAAAATACTTTTAAAATGTAATCGACTCAAAACTCAACTCAAGTCACATAATTTGATATGCAAAAAATATTAATAAAAAAAATTTGATTCCAAAAGAAATAAAAGTGAAATTTTTAAGATAAAAATATATGGAGAAAAAACTCATAAAAGGTCAAAAAATGATGAAAAACAAAAATAAATTATCAAGAATGAGAAGAAAAATAAATTGAGAAAAGATATGAAAAATAAGGATTCAAAATGATTTAAACAAATCGCAAAAAGTTAGAAATAAAATAAGAAGGAAAAATTAAAAAAACATAAAAATTTAAGAAAAAAATTGACAAAAATATTTTTAAAATAACGATTTTCCTTTTTTGAATGGGAATTTTTCTTTTTTGTTCGACACTTTTCCTTTTTTGATTGAACTTTTTCCTTTTTTGATCGGACCTTTTCCTTTTATAATTCATTCTTTTCTTTTTTTGAATGGAAAACCCTGTAAGTTAAAAACTGTATAAATTGTATGAGTTACGCGATAAAATGACAAAAAATAAAATTGACTTCATATTAATTTAACATATTACACTATTATTAATATAAATTTATGTGTAACACAAATAAATGGCAATTAAAATATCTTCCGACTAAAATGTTAAATATTATTTTAACATGTCGCGTCTATGTTTTTATCAATACAAAATATTTATATGGATATCAAATAAAAAGGCAGTAAAAATATATTTTGAGCTATAATGTTATTCACTTTAAGTTGTCGGGTTTGGAAATTCAGGAATATTTTTATCAACATAAAATATTACTATAGGTATCATATAGAAGCTAATTAAATATAGGAAAAGATGCATCTTTCCAGCTGAATCCATTCAGATTACATCTAAATTTTAACTTATATGATACTATTATCAATACAGGTGTTTTCCAACAATATTATCATTTTAACCGAAATTAAAAATAATTGGGTAGGACCAGGGTTGACAGGTCTGCCACATTACAATTTTCTTAAAAAGTGAAAATCTACCTGACTCAACCCACATGCCATAATTCTACCACATTTTTAAAATTTCCGAAATATATCACAAATTCTCACAAATAAATTTAAAAATCAAAATTTCAGTTACCTCTTTCTATTTGATGCCCTATTTGTTATATTTTATATAATAAGCAACCATATCATATAAGCTAATTTATATAAATTTTAAAATAATTTAAACAATAATTATTTTTTTTTTTTTTTTGACGGGTAAATTCTCTCTTTATTTCAATAGTTGCTGATATAATATGTTATCAAAATAAATATTTTTTAAGAATATGTACGACAATAGTATAATTGTTATATGACTTCCCTGATTATTACAATTGTCATCTTTCAAATTTTTTAAAAAAACCATCTTCAAACATGCTCAAAATATTTATTTCAGTCTATTTTAACTAAAATTATTTTAAAAGGTTCTAAGTTGAGTATTATGACAATTGCCACTTTTCTAGTTTTGCATTAAATGCCAATATACATTAAAATTTCAAAACATTTTAAAAATAATCATTTTTATTTATTCAAAATGAAATAATTATTATGACAATTTTCAGTTTCACCCATGTTTATATAGGTTTTACAATCACTGAAACCATCTCGATACATAATTAAAATATTTATTCTCGCTTATTTTAATGAAAAATATGATAAAGTATTATGACAATTGTCACTTTTCTAGTTTACATCAAACATCAATACATTGATATTATAACAAGACATTTTTCAAAATGATCATATTTGTTTATTCCAAATATTAAAAAAATATACAATTGGGTATTATGACAATTGTCATATTACAGCTTAAAATTATTCAAAAAATATTTTTTTAAGATCAAAAAATAAAATAAGAAAAGATTATATTTTTTAAAAATATTCACATAAGTTTTCTCAAAAAAATGTTTGTCAATATAAATGACAGGATTTATTATAAATATTAATCCGGATGTTGGCGTTTTATATATTTTTTTTATTTTTAAAAAATGTAAAATATTATAAGTAAATTATCGAATAAAATAAGGAAAATATTTATTAGTTTTTAACAGGATTGTGTACTGAGTTATTTTTTGCATTTTAAATCATTAATTGAGCAGGTTAGGGTTAGCTGATTCTGCCGGACATGCATGCCAATAGGTGTATAATATCCATCCTATAAATTTCAGACAATTTTATAATGAACTTTTAAAGAAATTTCAATTTAAAATGTAAAACCTACTGCGCATGTCGGGAAAACCTATTAAACTTATCACCTTACTTTTATTTTTAAATGCCAAATTTCAATTTTTTTTAAATATAAATTTATGATATATATTTTAAAGTTATTTAAAAATTTTCTAAATCATTAATTTTTGTTTATAAAATATAAAAATTTTTATAACCCGATAAAATGATCACCTTTACAATAATATCAATAATCACAATATCGTCTAAAAAAATTTCAAAGCTGGACCAATATAATAATTTGATAGGATTTATGGTTATTATTTGTTAATACTTGTGAAGAATATACGTAGCCGGAAGGAGGGGGCCTCTCCTTTGGAGATTTGAGTGTTCTCGTAAATATCATTTTAAGTTAATAAAAATGTTCCACTACACCCTACTCCCTCCCCTCACTATAATAATTTTAAAAATAACGACTATAATCTAAATTATATTTATAAAAATCTAGCATAGCCAAAGGCCTACAAAAAGAGGGCCCAAAGACTTCCGATAAAATTTATTGAGGAAAAATCTACCTAATAATGCCCCCCTTCCCCCAGCAAAATTTATCTTGGCTAGGCATAGGAGGAGTAGAAGAAGGTGTACTTTTTTTTAATTTCTCTATCTTCATTCATACCCTACATCTTTAAGAGTCGGCATTAGTATTAAGTCAAGAAGTCAAAATTTTAGGCTCCGATTGGCTTTTTTTAAAATTTTCCCGGAGTGAATTTAAAATGCCTATTTTATTTTGGCTTCGTCCTGATTTTTATTTCAATTTTATTTTAAGGACCGGCCTGAAATTTTAAAATGTTGTTATTTTTGATAATTTTGGATGTATTTTGTAAAATTGTGTTTCAATGGGTAACTTAAAGAACAATAAATGATGAATATTAAACTTAAAAATTAGCCTTCTTCTGTAAATTTCTCTTGCTATTTCTTTAAATTTTTTTGACTTTTCCAGAGGCCTGCAGAGGTACCATTTGCAGGCCCAGCCCTGATTATTTTCTGCAAATTCTTTTACCAGTATTATTTACTGTAAATTTTGTTACTATTCTCTCTTAATTTTTTTTACTATTTTCTGTAAATTTTTTTTATTTTCTTCTGTAAATTTATTTTTACTTTCTTCTGCAATTTAGACCGATATCATTTATCTCGTCGGAAACACCACCCCTTTAAGGAATTTTGGCATGAATGGAATAAAAAAAATTTTTTTAATTTTGTGCCATAAAATCTCATCAAAATCTGAACTCGAGATCCAAATGAATATTTTTATCTAAAAGAATCTCAATACAATGTGCAAATCAAATATGGTTCAATGCATGCAATGATCTAAAAAAAAATTATTAAGTTTTTTTAAAAATCCCTTTTGTATTTATTTTTTTCTTCTTCTAATTTTCAATTTATAATATGACGACAAATTATTTGGGTAGTTATTTTTATTAAGAAGGGTAGTAAAATAAATCAAAATAGGCAGAATTAAATGGGCAGCAGAAAAAACATTTGGTTGGTGTTTTCAATTTTTGGGCATGCGATATTTATTTTTCAAGTTTTTTATTGATTTGGGCAATTAATTTGGAAGGTATTTAAAATTTTTGGTTAGTTAATAAATAATTTTCCAGTTTTATATTTACTTGGGCAGTTTTAATTTTTTACACTAACTTTTAAAATGAATTTAATAAATGCAATTGGTGAATATTGTACAGATTCATCTGATTACTATGAAGAACCTGGTAATAAAGGATAAAAAAATTTAATAAATCAAAGATATTGCAGGTTTAAGGAAAAGATCTTCAAAAATTCTGAAGTCCAGGAACATCAAAAGTAATTCCTTGCGACAATCATATACAAATTATTGCAGGTGAGATGGGCCTTGCAATGATAATAATAAGTCGATTATCGTAGGTAGTAGTATTTTAGAATGTCCTGTCGTCGCTAGTAGTTTTTTTATTAAATGTATTTTTTCTTTATTATTTAACTATTTAACAAAAAAGAATATCAAAAAAGTATCTTTCATATAAATTAAGAATTACATATATTTCTTTTTCTGAAATAATATATATATATATACAAAAAACGTTAAAATGTTCAATTTACATAATATCAAAGTTTAATTTAATATATCACAAGATTAATATTATCGCCTTAAACCGTCATTATTTAAATGGACAAGTATATTAACGCTTAACACAATAAAAAATAAATTGTTACGAATATGTAACATAAATGTTACAGTAGAGGTAAGAAAATTTATTTTAGATGTAATTTTGTAAAAAACAAAGAAGAGGAGAGCAATGTGTAGAAGAATTTATTTCCTTTATAATTCTAATGATGGTAATGTAACATACATCTCAATATCATACTCATGAA